GAGCAATTCAACGCAGGGATGGCAGCACCATCAAAGTTGACGGTGTCATATTAAGCCAGCAATGGAGAACATGAACACTCGGCCGCATTCCATCAGGCTGTCCAATGATACAGAAAAAGCAAGTCGGGGCAGAGAGATTGGCGAAGGCAGGGGATCCGAGATGAGGTGCAGATGGACACGCATGTCATTGATGGAAGATGTGAGAGATGAATCTGTTGCTGGTTCCTGGAAGTCATGACGTCGCAGTCTGAAATGTGCGGATCATTCACCAATACTTAGGGACCCCTTTGGGGACCCTTAGGTACTCTCAGGTACCCCCGGACACCCTCAGCTACCCTCAGGCACCCCCAAGTACCCTTCATCGTCCATCAGTCTGCCACATTCACACATGACCCCGAAACTGCGCTCTGCCCATTGATCTGCTGGTCTCCCTCTTTCCTTGCATATTCTGCTGATGGACAGCTCCCCCTTCCACCACGACGTCGAGCGAGAGAGCTCCGTTGGTACGTCCTCCATGGCTCAGAAACCGATGCCTTCCCAGCATCAGGCTGGACGCAAGAAGGTTCTTATTGTTGGCGCCGGTGCAGCTGGGTAACACGTCCCTCCTCACTCCCATCTTCATGGCCAGTCACTGACTGTGGTTCCCTCCGCTAGAATGTCCGCCGCCTACCATCTCTCCCAACATCCCGACAAATACCACATCACCCTCATTGATGCCGTCGACTACTGCGGCGGGCAAGCCTTCTCCTGCCCCCTCGACAAGTCTCGCCATGGCGCCAGCTGGTTCAACCAAGGAGTTCAAGGCGGCAGCTACATTTTCCACCACACCTTGACCATGTTTGCTCGCCAGGGATACCACGCGGACCCCGTCAATCTCCAAGTCTCCTTCGGTAAGGACAAGACCTTCTGGACCAACGTCTTTCCCACGGACCTGTTGGCCCGCCATCAGAGCGAAGTCCAACGCCTCAATTTCGCCCTCAAGTTCATGCGTTGGTTCGAGATCTTTTTCGCATTGATTCCGCTCAAAGTCTTTTTCAAGCTGTGGTTTTTCTCAGAAGAGTTCACCAACACCGTTGCTTTGCCAATGGTGGCCTTGTTCTTGGGAACCGGCAATGAAACACCCAATGTCCCCTCAATCATGCTTGAGCGATTGTGCACAAGTCCGACTTACGGCATGTGGTACCCCTATGACCGGGCCAGCATAGCGAGCAATCATCCTCCAATGGTCGTCTTTCCGAACTTCAGCGAGTTCTACGAGGCCTGGCGCAAAGATCTCGTTTCGCGAGGTGTCACAGTCCGCCTTTCCACCGAACTCGTGGCTGTTCTCCACCGCTCGAGGTCCAGCGGCGTCGTTGTGTCCTTGAAAAGGCGTACGCCGACGCCTGACCACCACAACCCCCGTGGCGGCGACCCAGATGCTCCCACATTCGAAGAGCATTTCGACGAGCTCATCCTATGCTGCCTCGCCGACACTGCTAAGCGCGTTCTCTCGTCCACCTCATCCTGGCGCGAGAGGAAAGTCCTCGGCTCAGCGAAATTCTCCGATGACATTACCATCACCCACACTGACTCGGCCTATATGAAAAAGCATTACCAAAACTTCTACTCGGAGCCTCCCGCTGTAAGAACCCTCGGCGGTAAAGATCAGTCCTCCCGCTGCAACTTCGCAGCCACGAATTTCCGCCCAATGTACTACATCAAGATGTACAACCAGGACAAGTCCAAGCTGGAAATGTGTTTTGACACCACAAACTACCAGTCGCAGTTCCCAGACCAGGTGCCTTTTGAAGATCACGTGTTCCAGACGATATTCCTCAATCGAGATCGAGATGGTCATCTGTGGAGCGACAACGAAATTGACCAGAGCAAGGTTATCAGGAAAGACTGGTGGCATCAGCTGTGTCACTCGTACACGCATTACCTGTTCGTTGTGCCGTGGATGATGTTCCTCCAAGGCCAAAGGAGAGTGCGATACGCCGCGAGCTGGACACTAGTCAACGCACACGAAGTGGCCATCATGGCCGGGATTGCGGCCGCGGTCGATCTGGGCGCAGAGTACCCGGAGGACCTGGAGCACGACAAATTCGCCTTCCTCAGCTTCAGACTGTACTACCTGCTGGCGTATGGGAAGTGGTATCGACGACGGTATACGGCCGCAGCGAAGAAGAACCCCGACAAAAATGTCAGTGACAAAGCGATAGCGGGAAAGAGCTGGGCCACCGGCTTGTACGGGGGTGTTTACAAGGGCCCTGGAGTGGCCAAGCAGGAGAGGATGACGTGGCGGGAGGAAATCAAAGTCGGGAGAAGTACAGGCAATTTGGCGCAAGGCAACGCACAGGGGCGGAGTCAGCCATGAGGACCCATACACCCGAATAACGCACGAAAAGAGAGACATGTATTCGACATTAGGACACATCAAAAGTCGGGCTAGGTTGAAAGGGGTAACAATTCGGAGAGGACATTCTCGGAGGAGGAAAAGATCACACACCACTGCTGTTGGAAATACCTAGGTGCGTCATATTCGAGGGTATGAATGTCATTTGGTGTATCGTTCGTTGTTCGTTGGTCTGGATCTAATTTGAGTTCTTGCTCGGCTGCCTCATAATACGTTGAAAGCTCTGTCTGTGGACGGTCCGCTCGAGGGTTTGGAAATATTCAATCAAACTCGGATCGATGCCCAAGCAACTAACCCAACCGCCGCGCCTTCCACTCGTGCTTTTCCCTTGTCCATTTTAAAAATGGAAAAAGACGCCGAGAATGTCTAGTACCAACCACGAGTTTCTTTCTACCCGTGACAGCCACGCCTGCCGATGGTGATGCTCCAAACTGTGTGTGTGTGTGTGTGTGTGTGTGTGTGTGTGTGTCGTATCCACTTCCGAGCCCATCTTGTCCACACTGCCCCAAAGGACGTCATACAACCGCCCCGCGGCGCCTCTCAGCTAGTAAAGAACTTTTTGTAACTCTCCTTCTCCTTCTTGATGCTGTCGGCCAGAGTCTTCTTCGTCCTGGCCAGCTCGGTCTTGATCGCAGCGTCCTCCGGGGCCAGCTTCGCGGCGTGCTCGTAGTCCTTGAGCGCTTCCTCCAGGTCCTTCAGTGCCACCCGAGCTTGCGCGCGGCGGAAGTACACTTTGGCCTTGTCTGTGTCCTTGGTGTCTTTTGGAATAGAGTCGATGGCATGACCGGCCCATTTCTGAGCCTCCTCATACCGCTTGGCTTTGTTGGCGAGAAGCGCAGAGTTACTGAGCAGCGTAAACCGCAGGGTGTCCAAGTTGCTCTGCAGATCCTTGGGGTCACTGTCGCTGGCTGCGGGATATTCATTTAGGTATCTGAGCGCCTTCTGGTACTTTTCAATACCTGTCTCGACATCTCCAGCCTTGAAGGCCTTGTTGCCAAATTCTTTGAGGTCCAGTGCAATTTTGTAGTATTGCTCTCCTGTCAACCCTTCACCCTGGTCGGTTGGGTAGTCCTCATAGGGGTCGCCGGTCGGATCCGTCACCTTCTGAGTGGCTGTAGCATAGGCCTCGCCTTCGAGCTGACCGCATTCGGCTATCACCACATCGCCACCAACAGGCTTGTCCGCCTGCAACTGAAGATTTTCAATGGTGCGCACAATGTTCTTACCATTGATGACTTCACCGAACACGACGTGCTTGCCGTCGAGGTGAGGAGTGGGAACAGTCGTGATGAAGAATTGCGATCCATTGGTACCTAGACACATCAGCTTGGGACTCAGAAGGCATATGCGTGGACTCGAATCTCTTACCAGGCCCGGAGTTAGCCATGGACAGAAGGAAAGGGCGGTCATGCTTCAGGTCGAAATTCTCGTCCTCGAACTTCTCGCCGTAGATGGACTCGCCTCCAGTGCCATTGAACCTCGTAAAATCGCCGCCCTGGATCATGAACGCCTTGATGACTCTATGAAAGATCGACCCTAGCCAGTAAACTCAGTCTTGAGAGAACCGATTGAGTATAGTCTGTCGCACCTTTGTAATGTAGAGGTTTGCCTTGCTTTCCCATGCCTTTCTCACCGGTGCAGAGAGCACGGAAGTTCTCTGCCGTTTTCGGTACGACTAGAGAGGGTATTAGCGGAAGAGAGCGATCTGAGGAGGAGGACCGAGAATCATACCATCATTGTACTATTATTGGTGTCAGTTCATGTGTCCTCTCATACAGATTTGCGGGACCACTTACAAGCTCGAAGACGATACGACCCTGCTTCCTCCCACCGATTGTGATGTCAAAGTAGACCCGCGGTCTTCCTGCACAGTGAGAGGTCGGTCAGGCTATGTTGATGCGCATGGGAGAGTGGTAAGGCTTACCACTCTTTGCTTCTGCCATGGTGTAGGCTGCGAGAATGAGACGAATTCGAGATTTAGGCTGGTAGTAGAGTCTGAGGAGTCGGTGATTGTTGTAGGGGGAGAGGTTGGCGAGGAGGAAAATGCACGGTGAGAGTGAGAGCCGCAGTCTGTTCAATCGCACAAAAAACTTCTTGAATCTTCTTTGGTATTCACTGCGCTTGCGGGCGGTCGGAGGTTCAGCCAATAGCGGGACACCGGTGCCTGAGGGGCCATTTCTTAACCGGTATGATTTGGCGGGGAAGACGCTAGGGAAGCCCACGCCTAACGAGGAAGGTCGCCCGGAATTCCCCCCTAAAGACAGGGGTGGAAGCCTTGCGGGTCGAGCTTTGTGTCGTTGACAGCAACAACAGCAGCCACCATCCTCGCCACCTCCCTTTTCCCTTCCCTCCCTTCTCTCACACTTCAGTGATTGTTGCCTCAAAAGGCTCCTTGCATCAGGCGATGATGGCACATGCTGCAGGCGCCTCCCAGGTAGGATGAGGCTTGAAATCTCGTCCCTCCTATCTCTCTCTCTCCACACTTCTTCGATCCCAAATCACCGCATCTCAGTCAACAGTACATCTTACTTGAAACATTATACATTTGCTGCTTGTGTGCGTAAACATTTCAAAGCTCTCTGCTCCAACAGTATCGTTCTTGATCATGGCATCCTCTCACGTAACTTCGCGCTCACAACTCTCAACCCAACTCACAACTCCTTCCGTGAAGGAACATCCCCCTTGCGAACCAATTCCCTCTGAGTCAATCCTCTCCAGAGAGGGTATTTCATGGGTGCTTCATGTCGACGACAAATCACCAAAGCCTGAAGCCCTAAATGATGTCCAATGGGAGCAATGTTCAGTCATCGTTGTCCGGATCAATCCATTGCCCGATTCTCCAACCGGATCCACAAACCCCATGGTAGACTTCAACCACGCCCCAACCTGCATGACAAGTCTGGTCAACCGAGTTGGGACCGTTTCTTCTCTCATGAAAAACAAGCTGCATGACCATATCAATGCGGGTCAAAAGACGGTTCAAGTCGTTTTCGGGGAATGTTAGCTCCGTTCTCGCACAGCAGAAGGTGTTTACGTGGCTACCCCCATCTGGCGTCTCTGCGACCTGGCCCAAATGATGGCAACCTTCCACTGGATCGAACCTGAATCGACTCACAACACTGCCGCACTAGCTACTCACGCGAGATTGCTCACGCCCCCTTTCATCCTACCTCAAGTCAGCGTCTCCTGCCTGGATGGTGCTCCCCCTGCTGAGCGCGACACAGAGCACGAAAGAATGATTTGGTATCGATGCCATACGGTGTTGCAAAGTTCTTACAAGACTGGAGAAATGGGACAACTCTTCCCAGGTGCGACCGGAGTGTGGAATCTTCTTGGGACTCACCTTATGAGATACGCTTACGTCGTCAAAGATCTGGGCGGGCTTGGTCCTACAGATTCGTCCGTCATGGCAGCCACTTCGGACGACCTGAAGCTTCCAGTGGATGTGATCCGCAGCGGGATGGAGGAGACACCAGACCTAGAGAACTACCTTTACATGAAATCGCCCGCCTCGTCAAATGGATGTGGCCAATCTTGAACGGGAACATGTCGCCTGGAGGGCCGTATAGTTGGATTCGTAGTATTGGGACTGCCGAATGTACCGACCGGCTTCTACGGTCTCTCTCCGATCAGTAGTAGCCGCCGCCAGAATGAATGTTATTGTGATTGGTGGGTGACGGGTTTGCGAGAAATGTCTCAATACTATTCATCGTTGAATAAGACGACTGGGGACTGGGATGATTGATCGAGAGACCGAATTTCTCGCCAGCCCCAGATCCCAAGGCGCGCCCGTGATCCTAGTAATCGTCTCCTTTTGGATGGGAAACTCTCGAAAACAAACTCTTCCATCGGCCGATCTAGCGAGTGAGAGAGTGCGGCCCTCCACGGTTTCGGCGATCAGTCCCGCCTGCTGCTTTCACCTACCGTTTGAGCTTCTCGGCAATGGGGCAACAAGGGCCCAGCTCCAGGCCCGGCCTGGAGCTGACAGCACAACTGCAAGCCGCAACACATCGAACGAATACCGCAGCTGCCTCGAGTCTAGGATTGCTCGGCACATACGTTGTTACACGGTTTATTCGAACTTGCTCATGGAGTGATTTGTGGCATGATTTTGGTCCTTGTCGAGTCAAACTCCCGGATCTCTTTGATGAGAAAATAATCCGGCGATCTATATTCGGAGTTTTATCACCACCCAGCACAATTGACACTGCATAATACATTTCGGACGATGATTTTGCTATGGCACATCAGACCATATGGTTGCCGACTCGTGACAAATCAGCACAGGGTACTTGTGGGCCTGATTGGTGTCACCGTTCAAGAAATGCCGGTCTCACTGAATGCTTCAGGCTGAGGGTGCTGAGGTGAATATTGCGAGGCACGACCCCTATGAACTCATATGTGCTCATGGAAGTCTAAGCATGTTATGTTCAGCTCCGTTTTCTTCCAGTCTCCATCCAATCCTGAGGAGTGAGGCGATTGTCCTTCTCGTATTCTCCGGACGCTTCCGTCTGTCTGGTTTCTTTTCTGGGTTCTCGGCTGCGATCTGCGCGGGACTTACGATAATCCCATCCAGACATTCTAAGGATGACATGCTTTGGGTAGCGACGCAGAGCTGAAAAGGCGGGGAGATGTTGTGGAGGCAACGAAGCTACGCAAGGCCTAGAACCAGTGGCCTGAAGGCAGAACCAGCGGCTCTGTTCCGTGGGCCATTGTCAATGGTCGGTCTTTGCGAGCGATGCGGTCAGGTGGGCCCTCGAAAACAAATAAACAACGGGTGATCAACGATCCTAGTGGATGCACGCCGTCATGATATCCTCGCATTCTGGTGAGCACGAAAAGGACTTCAGCTGAGAGCTCTCTTGGAGTATGCGTGTTTCACAGGCCCTCACATGATGCTTCTGTTACCCAAGACTACTCGCCTCTCCAGTGACCATCAGTTACAGAAACAGCGCTTGGTTTTCCCTCAGGTATGATGGAAATCATCTTGAAACACGGGGCAGAGCGAGATTCAGACAATGCTTGTTTATAGCTCACAGCATCGTCAGCACGGGCCTCCAGCAATCTCTTTGAAGTATTCGATATGTCTCGAGACCTTGGCACATTGCGCAAGTGTCCCCTCGTTTTGCATGCGCATCGAACCACAGCCCTGGAGGTGTCAGCTCCCACTCAATGCTCACTGCTCGAAGCACATGCTCGCATCTGTTTGGTTGTCCACTTGCCGGGCCTGTCGATGAGCTGCAAGTCCTGGACGAATCGAGGCTTCCAAGCTCTCAGGTGCATATAGCCCCTCCTCGTCGAAATCTCTGCCTCATCAGCTGAGCCTGATGGAGCTGAGAGATGTCTATAAAGGCTGGCTATTGTCCAAGACAGCTCACTCGGCTTCTCATAACCTGTTCTTGAGCTTCCGCGACTCACGACCAATCGTTCCCAAGAGTCTTTCATTCACCCAGTCCATTCAAAACAACTACTCGACAAAATGGTCCGCCTCAGACTCACCAACAATCAAACCGGTCACGGTGTCAATGCCGAAATCCCACTGGTGAACCATCAACAACCTATCAGCCAATTCTACGCCAGCTCCTTTGACTCGAGCGGCAAATTCATGATCAACGCCGCCGAACTGACCGCCGATTTCCAGGGCGTCGAGGTCGTTGTCAATGCGGGCGGACAATCGGTTACCCTGACGACCAATCAGAACTCGAAGCAGTTCAACGGCCTGGTTGATGCGGCCCATGGCAGTATTTTGGCGAGGAAAGCCTGAGTTCTAAACCGTCAAAAATGGATAAAACCCAGCAGGTCTAAAAGGCGCCGTAAGGGGCCATGGGAACGACGTTGTTGTAATGATATACGATGCGGCGTGACGTGGTGAGGACATCCAACCCAGAGAAGGGTCCTCGAGGGACGAGTTGGACGTTTGCAGGCTCGAGGTTGATACTGTTGTAGTCAGACTGTTGTCGCTCATTCTTCTCAATAGGGCCAGAAACAATACCTACCTACCAAGTTCAGTCTACTGGGTGGAAATCTAGGTGGATCGATCATGCTGTTTCTTTTCGAGCCCTCCTCCCGAAAAGGGGAATGGACTGTGCCATTTCCCTTTCCCTTTCCCTTTCACACTTTCCATTTCCACCTCCCTGGCACGTCATGTCCCGACATACATAAGCCTACCTGAAGAAAGACATGTATGCATGCATGCCAGGAAGCCACTAAGCAAGGAGCAAGATCAATCGATGAAAGATACCTGCTTAGAATGGTAGAATCGATTGTTCGTTGGGGTAAGGCTGGCTGGAAGGCTGGCTAAGTGAGGTAGTGAGGGAGGAAGCAAGTGAGTAGGTAGCTCGGTAGGTAAGTAAGGGAGGACAAGGAGGGTGAACCGACTGAGGTGAACTCAGGTGATTGTATTGAACCAGGTTGCTGTGGTGTCTGTCTCCTCTCCATGTCAGCAAGCATGTCTGTCGCGACCAGATAGCAACTCCAGCACCAGCCGTAACTACATAGTCAGCTAGCCCACTAGCCAGCACTAACAGCCCCTTGTGGCCGCACATAGCTAGTCAGCTAGCTGGTTAGTTTCAAGTGAGTAGTTCCGTGCGGGTGAGGTTCTCAAGCCCACTACTATAGCCACAGGATATAGCCGCCGGTACCCTATCGAATGCTCAAGGCTGGCTCCGTCATTACAGGTCCTCGCTTGCTCGCGCCGGCCGTGCAGAGATTGTGCCAGAACCCATGATTTCCGCCGGGCGGGAGAATCACTCGATCTGTCCATCCGTCGAGCCATCGATTCATCAGGTCCAGGTATCTCGTCTTCGTCTTCGTCTTGGTCTTCGCCAATCCGGACGCATCCAGAGCCCCCCGACTCCCGCGGGTTCACGGGCCCTCTATCTAAAGCATGCCTTGGCGCAGTACATTCGTGCTGGATACGTGCCGGTATGCTGCAACCCGCGTTTCTTGTCTGTCCCACCGTGGCCAGCCCAGATATGGTCATTTCTCTCCATTCCATTCCGGCTTCAACCGGGCTGGTTGGCTTGGGGGTAGGGCTGCACGGCGCATGGTCTGAGGGAGAATGTGATGCGGGTTTGATCAAAGGGAACTTGTGTACATACCGTTACAGCCAGCCGCGCGCCAGAGACGCCTGGGGGGGGCACCACAAACATGCCTGACTCCCGAGGCTGATGCAGGGAAGCCCTGCTCGTGATGCAAATGTGCATGCTGGGCTGGTCCTTCTCTCTCCAGTCTCACTACTTGAGTCTGGCATTGGGGACACAAGAGGCAAAAAGACTCGGACTGATGCAAGAACGCAATTCTGTGATACCGGTGCTCGTCAGAAGGCATTGGACGAGGCAGGAATGAGTGTGGAGAGACGCCACCGGTTAGAAGCAGATGGGAGCACAGCATGAGCCTCTCAAACGCGACTTGGTGAGGTTGGCACATTCTGCAGTGAAAAACATACCCCAGCCAACAAGGGCAGGCTCGATGCGGCTATCTCGTTTCACGGCAGCCCCCGTCCAGACTTCAAGTTGTCCCTGTGTCTTTCAGTGCTTCGTTGTCCAAGCAGATCCCTGCCTTTCGATTCAGGTCTGGCCTCGTCAATTGCCCATCTTCCATAGAATGAGGAGGTTGGTCTGTGCCACGCACGGTGTAACCGACGACAGAAAGGCAGAGAGGTTGGGTGAGCTGCAGTCGCACAAAAGACCCTGCGTCTGTTGAGTGGCATGAGTTCCGTGACACGGTAAGTACAGCAGAGGACATAAAGATAGTTTCAGCCAGAATGCCATGAGGAGATATGTAGAGGTAGGTAGTTAGCCACCGGACGACACGTAGCCGTCGAAGAATAACACTGCTTGTGCAAGTACAATGCTCTTCTTGGCCTGTGATCCAGAGTATTGTGCCAGCCACGTTTTTGAGCTGGTGAGCAACTTGGTTGGGGTTTAAAGCTGGTGGATTTCCCATCAACCCTGTAATGTTATATCTGCCCTGGCTTTTTGGTCAACTTCAGAGCCTGCATTACTCTCAACCTGGGCTTCTACAATGTATTGAAGATGAGACTCGAATCTGACACACAAATCCATCTGGACTCAGACTTGAATGGAGTAGTAGTAGGGTTTCGACTGCTGGTTGAACAAGCCCTCGCAGAAAATGGAATCCAGGCACAACAGGCACAATAGCATGGCGCATACGAACTCTGCATGGAATGAAGCCAGTGAACCATGTGGTCAAGTTGCAAACGTATCACCGCTTCAGACAGGACGGGATTCAAACAAAAAGAGCCCGGGCAGGCCTGACACACTGTGCTCCAGATACCTGGCGTGCAGGCCCCGAAATGGAAAAGAAATCGAATTGGCATTGGAAATTGGACAAACTGCAATGTGTTCGTAGTCTAGACCAAGCAATTATTGTCCAAAGGTGAGATGAGATGCGAGGCAACGTGGCAAGATAGAGGAACTGCGATTCATGCACCAACCTCCCGTTGAATTGCAAATGTGCACAAACCGGTCAGGGAAATGGGATCCAGCCTCGCATTCTTCATTCGGATATGGCAGCAGATGTTGTCGGCTCACTGGGGTCTATGAGAGCTGGACTTCTTGTTCCCCGAGTCATAGTGATTCCTGCCGCCGTGAGCATTGTTCTGTGGGTCGCTCTCTTGTCATTCTCTGTCACCGTCGTCTGTCAATGTCGGACGTCAGTGTCAGACATCGGGATTTTGGCAAGATGAAAGATTGGGCGTTTAAGGAAAGGCAGCGGCTTTGGCACCTCAACTGCCGTGGCGCCTAGCGTGCATCTACTTACATGAGATTAAGGGCCACAAGTCCGCGGCCAGAAGGTACAGCTTAGGTGGATTCGTCCTCTGAGCTCGTCAGCGCGTCTAGTGAAGAGCACTGCCGAAGTTCGGATTGCGTCTACTTTCGCAAGATGTAAAACACCACGGGATTGGCGTGTGGCGCCAGCGCATATCCATAGCGGTCACCTCACCAGGCCAGGGTACAAACACAGCGGTTGCCTCTCCTTCCAAGATACGTGGCGAGAAGTTGGAGTCAGTTGAACGTCTGGCGCGCGGAAGCTGAGCCGTGCTGCCTGCAGCAATGTTTCGTCAAAGCATGCCCTGCCATCTGCAACGGTGAGAATGTTTAGCAATAGCAACCGCTAGGTAGGCATTGCCTCTCTATGATAGGCTGGGTAGACACTAGAGAGAAAAGCCGCACTTCGACACAAGTCGCCTTGCTATCGTGTCTGTTAGATGCCGCTGTAGGTCGCCGTGTGAGCTGGCTTGCGTTCATCGTGCTGAAGACATGGCAGTTCGCAACGAATGGGGCGTGCTTGCTCAGCGACAGCGTTCCGTCTGGTACTGTTACAAATCATCTGGGGCAAACGAGGTGAGGTCGCCATGGTTCGAGTCGCGAGGCAGGAATGTCGTGTATGCCGCTTTTGGAAATACCTGATATCCATCCCAATGCCTCATTTGACGTGAGCACGCAATAGACGAACCAGTGGCACAGGATGAACGCGACCCAAGGAAGCGAGAGGGCTGGTTGAGTCCTCCTGAGCTTCTAAGAGCTCTTTCGCCACTGTGGATGAGCAATTTGCGGTTGGATTAACGCCTAGATGCACTTTTCCACATAGCCATTTCCGCTCAGATGCGCAGGTGACATGGTGTGTGAATGAGACACGCGGCAGTAGTACACCACGTACACTGGTGAGCGAAGGCGCATACGTGCGCCCTCCCATTGGCGAAGACATATTCGATGCTCTCAGGGGGGTGGAGAAGATTACTCCTGACCTCAGCCTGGAAGGATTCAACACCATCAGTGCGTGTCATCATAAGGCCGATGAACCTCAGGCAGAGCATGTGCCAGTTGACGCCGCTCCTCTTTGGAATCTCACCAACTAGCACGGGTTCCTACATCCAGGCAGTCAGCATGGGAGCGAAATCGATCCTTCTCCACCATTAGTTGCTTGGATTTTCTCAGATTTTAGCTGTTGCGTGAAGTGTCCCAGAACCTGCGGAGTCGAGGTGGTCATCACATGGGAAAAGGGTGTCAATGAACATGTCAACAGCACGAACAGGCTGAACGGAACAATGTTGATGATGGACGTTGGATGTTGGGGGCCTGCGCCACGCATCACGACAGCAATCGATAAGACGGAAGTTCCACTCGCTTCGAGGTTCTCGCCTATCGATAGTTGTATCGATAGCGGTATCGATATCAATAGTGACGAGAATGCGAGGGGCAAAGGCGCAACAGGCACCGCTCAGTCAGCCACCTTTTGCCCCTTAGTTCTTCTGCCACAGCAAACGGCATCTTGGAAGCGTGCCTCGTGTCTGCGAGACAACTCATGCAAGAGAGACAATCTGAATGCAGGAGGCTCCAGAGATAAGAGTACCACAAAATCCAAACCCAATCAATAGGGGCAGCGCGGCATCCCTGTCACCTCCTGAAGCGTACGCAAGTCGGGAAGCCCCTCAGAGCGCTAAACATTAGGAAAATGCTGAAAAAGGAGGAGGTTAACGAACTCACGAGGTGTGTGGCTTGTTGTTCGGGTTTGCCGCTCTAGCTGCTGAATGCTCAAAGCAACCACTTAGAGGGGAATGCAGTGGTGAGCACTTTGGCACCGGTGCCACCGTGCCCAACTTTGTAAGCGAAGGCTCAGCCCTATTCTCCACATTACATTTGGTGCGAGAACCTTGGTGTTTTACCCGGAGTTCTGGCGCCAGGCGCTGGCTAGCCCTCGTCGGTCCCGAAGAGGGAGCCTGAAACTTCCTAGTGATCC